CGTCAAATTAAAACAAAAGATTCAGCTTTGCTAATTCATGGAGACGTTTTTTTTAATGCTTACGGGAACTATCTACAATAGTGTTTAACATTTATACGGATCATAATAAATTAGCGTTGTGGGGTTAATCATTTCGTTGGGGTTTTTTTTTTTTTTGCACCTTTTTCTTTCTTTTTTTCTTTTTTCTTTTATTTTCCCCTGTCAAAATGGACTAAGAAAAAACATTTTAACTGAATTTATACGTGTCAAAGCTAAAATCACTTTCGGTTTATTTTGATGATGAAATTTCTTTTTCAGTGAGTGTTTTAGATCTATTTCCATCACCCATAGCAACCACATTGTACGTGCAGAAATAAACTAATACTTCGAGTCAAAAGTAATTAGGATAATTAATGTCCTTTTCTTCACCATATTTTGGCATAACAGTACAGCTTAGATATCAAGATCTTATAACAGCAGTTAAACACAAGCCCAAAGTACTATTATGTGAAATCTTATCTATGGGGCAATTTCGCGGCGCGTGGCATTATTAATATATTATACTAAATTGATAGTTTTTTTCAAGTCACCGTTAATGCTTTTTAGTTCGAATAAATTCATTTAAAAACCCTAATTATTGACTAAAAGTGTGCGTTTATAAAARGGAGTAAGCAAATATCGAGTACAGTTTTAAACAGCAACCGAGTTAGGCAGATCGAAAGCTGAAACATCTTAAACGTAAGTGTTGCGAAATCGTCTAGCTCCGTCTGTTTTTAAAAATGTACAATTTAAGCGTTTAGTAAGGTGTAAGTTAACGAAGAAATGATGCGTTTAAGAGAAGATATTTTGCACGAATCTTGTGCATAGCTCTAAGCCATTTAGTAACCCGCTGGGGACTATCGTATAGCTATATTTATATGTATAATCATATAACTCTACATTCTTAGAAAAGGAGCTTAGCGTACAAGAGACTTGGCACTAGCTTCATGGCACTAAGTGGTCGGTCGTCATGATAGCTTTAAGATCTGAAGCACTTATAAAAGCTAAGATAGATTTGATTCTAAAACGATTGTTTATTTTTTTCCGATTTAGCAACAATGATTTATTTCTTTAAATATACACATAATTATCATTATAATAAGCTGCTCGTGCACTTGCCTAGAATTACTAGAAATCAATGGCAAATTTATGTAGGAAGTCATATATAATAATACAATAAACTCTTTAAAAAAACAGTTTTCGTTTTCAGTTAACTTCTTAACACCTTTACTAGTCAACTGAACTGATTTTTTTCTTCTGTAAACTACGTGGGAAAAGAGACCCTTAAAAGCATCTTGGTTTATTTACCAAAACTTTAGTTACTAAATGTGTCTTAATACTCATTTATCAAAGTATTAAATTAAAAGCAAAAGGAAGATTAGCGATATACTTTGTTCTTGTAAAAATTGCGAGCTAAAATATCGCCCATGGTGACGTCAGGACTACGTCATCGATGGTCTTGGCCAATGGAAAGACGGCTGGGTTTAGTCAACTTTCCTTATTTCCTCTAATAAATATATTATTTCTTCGGAGAAAATAAATTTGCCAGTTCAGTCCTGAAGTTGGGTCAGAAAACTTTTCTCGAAAAACAGAATGAAGTCTGTTATTGTTTTCGCCTTAGTTGCCATCGTCTTCTTGCATTTCAAGACAACCTCTTCAAAAATAATTGTAAGTATTGTCTCTTCATTGTGCCCTTTATTCATTCTTTTTCAATTGTTTTTATTATTAAGATATCGATAGTTTGAGCTTTAATTATGAATTTCGACAAAGAATCACTAAAGTATCTTTTTGTGAAGCCTTAGGGACACGTTCAGTTTTTTTTAGTATTAAATATACATAATAGACTTGTTTGGTTCTAAATTTTTTTAGTATTATATGTATATGCAATAGACTTGTTTGGTTCTAAATTTTGCAAAATAGACGTGCCAAGAGAATTATCCGTCGAAAAAAATGTATACAATTATCGACTTGCTTTTATTTTATGTATTTTAAGTAAAATAAGGACATAAAAAGGTCCCGTGGAAGAGGATTCATTGACCAACTTCCTGAAGCATAAAAGAGAAATTTCGTAAGATTTATAATTAATATTACAGTAGTGTATTCAGCTGAATTGACATTCTGGCACTGAACAACATTCAGTTTCGCAATGATTTCCTTTGTGTTTTCTGTCAGAGTAACACCTGAAAGCCGGCGCTGAATAAGATTTATATTGTTTGACCGCGACAAAAAGAGAGACAAGCCAGGCGAAGAGACACTCGTTTGTCCTTGCAAAGGATTCCTGAGTCAATAAGATAGTTCGCAAGTACTGTAATCTTAAACTTCCCATTATTTAACATCAACTGACAACCAGTCCAGAGTAATAAATGGTATTACTATACTGTGTCTAATTCAGAATGAAGATAAATTTTATATCAAAACGGGTACTCTAGGAAATGAGTTTCAAAAAATTGAGACTTTGGAGGTTTCAAACCGGAGATCGTAGATGGAAAGACTTCTTCAGCCCTAAAGCTCCTCCTTGCCTTTCGTTATAATTGATGATGGTCTTGTTACTCTCGATTGCTACGGCGTGAGCTCCCTGCCCCGACTCGGCACTACGTTACCAGGCCACCAATTACGTCACAAGTTGCTTGGCAACATTCAAATAAGGGCATTTACAGTGTACGCCATGTTGAATATTAGCACGGACTCATTAGTTACCAGGTTTGTCGTCCACGTTCTCAGAGCCTGCGCTTCTCTTGGTCAGCACCGAAAAACTTAACTACCTTTTTTTTCTATAATCGACATTACGGGCTAAAATTTGGTCTTTTTAACTATTGTCGAATGGCTCTTTTCATTTCTGGTGATCATTTTGACACAACTGCTCGTTCAAAGAAGACAGGGTCATATGATCTGTAAATGCCTCAACGGCCTATTATTTATGTATAGATGGTCACTAAGATCTGCGGCACTAAGTTAAATCTTATCTAAATCGAAAGTGGTTTAGTCAAATTTTATGAGTTATTCATATTTTCACTTTCAGATCCCAAGGGAATTTGAGGATAGTGAGAATGCTGAAGATCACATCGATCATGTCAAATACATCCTGACAAGAAATTCAGACCCCAACAAGAGAACTGCATCTTCTGTTAGTGCTAACTCCGCTGACCAGTGCGAGGCACCTGATAACGCCAATATCAAAACCGTAGTCAGTAAGTAATCCGCTGACCAGCACTGATTGATTAAAAAATATCAATTCCGCTTTAATGCAAATCATTATCATTGTTTTCCAGCTAACAAAATTGTACCAGTCAACTGGGTGAACCGCCCTCTCTGTTCACTAGTGAGAGTACCTGTGAAGATAGAGACACGCAAACATTCGAACCCCTTCCCGTCTTACGTCAGACTTAGCCGGTGCATGGGCTCATCTCAGTGGCTACCAACTCTCCAGCATTGTACAGTCAAGAGAAAAGAACTGATAACTGTCATGTACATGGATGCTTTCGCCAACTATCAGGTAGGAATTGTAACCGTTTTCACAATCAACGATGGCGCCGGTAGAGATAGTGCCTCATACTTCTGCATGGGGTCAGGGGCATGGGGTCTAAGGCTCGATTCCTGAACTCTGCAACACGTGGGTAGAACTTGTTCGGTCTCTCCCTTGATTCCTGGTTTTTTTTCTCCCGTCATGTTCTTCTACTAAGCCTATGTTGACCAACACCTTGTATCCTTCAATCCTTCATTACCAGGAGTTTGGTGCCAAGATGTATAATCACACAGAGTGCGAAGAAGAGTGCATCGTCAAACACCACCACTGTAACCCGGTAACAGAGAAGTACCAAGACTGTCAGTGTAAGTGTATCATAAACGACTCGTATTGTGACAGCTCCTACCAAACATTCGATAAGTATCTTTGCGGGTGCCGGTGTAACACGGTCAGACAGTGTTCCATGTACCGAGAATGGAACCCAACTACGTGCAAATGCCAGTGTGCGAAGAGTATCAGAGATATGTGCGAGAAAGTAAACTTTGTCATTGATGAATCTACTTGTTCGTGCGTATTACCACCACCACCACAACCAACCACGACTGCTCCACCAC